TCATCGCACGGTTATCGATCCTTACAAGTCTTTGAGCAAATAAACGTTCGTAATCCTCATCATTGGTGAATTGAATCAAAATATGCAAACCATCCAAGAGGCCAATTTTCAATTCCCCAATGAGATGCATTAACTCAAATTTCTTATGTATAACCTCAAGTTTCGGATGGACGTAGAGGAATTTATCAACCAATGCGAGACGACAAGAAGACCCCTGAATGTTGCATTCATCATCGGAAATTAAGATAGCAGGCTTGTCATTCTTCTGACCCGATTTTTTAATAAACCTAAACTCACCACCTAATGAAAAAGAATCATGAAAAGATTGAGGAAAAATACAAGTTTTGGAAGAACCAGAACCCTTATCGCCGGCAAGGGCCTCAATGAAGGTACGTTCCAACGCCATCGTCGGAAATCTAAGATTGTCATACGATTGCCAGAGCCACCAGAGCAAGCCCTAGGAGCGCCATATATATATATATATATATATATATATATATGTGATATGTTATAATTTAAAATTAAGCATTAGTTCTCTTTTTTTGGTCAAATTGGGAATTGCAATTATTTTGTAGTTTTCTTGCAGTTTGTATGATTGGTATCGTTCCGTTATTAATTATTCTTTTTTTTAAAATGTCTATCAGTTTCATTATATGCTTAAGTTACTTATTCTAGATAGGATTTTTGATGGAATATATTGAATGAGATATTTAACAATAATAACATATTCTCACCCAATATAATTTTAGAATATACTATTAATCATAATTGATCGAGCAATCATCAATAGGTCTCTGCTTTCTTCTTTCTTCTATCTAATTTTGCTGATTATTGGTAAAATAAGTTTAGAGAACAATTTTGATGCCGATCTCGGGTTCCTAGATGGTGTATAAAGATCAAGGGAAGGGTAAGGATAGTTGTAAGATGAAAATATATGAAAAAAACATCTGAAAGGAAGCTATTTGGGACGGAATCAGAAAGCTACAACAGCTGTCATTGTGAAACAACCAAGTGGAAGGATACCAGCAAGCGTTCAAAGGTATTTGGCAGTCTGGAAGCTCGAGTTTTTGTCCTTGATTAAGTCATAGTCACACCACCTGAAAGAGAAAATGGTTCAAATCTCCAAGCGGAGTGAAAACAAAGAACAAGCCTCTAACAACACAAAACGAGGCAAAAGTCAAAAACCATGTTCTAAGCAATATATTTATACTACCAAAGCAAAAGAAGCTTTAATCTATTCCAGACTAGGTAATAAAGAGTCCTAGTGTTTATTGGTTCTTTAAAAGCAGGAAACTCTTGAACCGAATCTGATTTAGGTTGCACGGACTCACTATGGGATGGAAATCCTATCCTGCTTTCTTAGAGGATTGCACACTTTCGTCAAATTGTTTATTGGAGAAGATATTGTTCTGGAGTGGAATGTAGAAATACTCTCTAATTCATTTTCAGTGTAAAGAACTTGAAATTGGGTTTAACTTTGGTTTTTATAAGTATTTGAAATTTGCAAAAGTGAAATTGATTTCGAAATAGTCTTGTATTAAAAAGATTTTAGTGATTTTAGTGTGTTCATCATCAGAAGATATAATCAACCTACTGGTTGAGCTATTTGTCATGTGAGATAGACCCTATATATCACTATGGATAGTCGTAAAAGATTGGTGTGCTTTATTTATGACTAGGGTATGAAGTTTAAGTGCTTTTAGACAATTGACATGTTTCAGATTTGTGTTGATGAAGATGGGGAAATATTTTTTTCTTAAATATTTATAATTTGGATAACCAATGCGAAATTGATATAAAATGATAGTACTTTTTTTAGGAGATGCATAACATTTGTTCATGTTATTAGTTATTACTTTCAAATTTTGAGGTAGAGACAGGCTTGTATATTCTTTTGTCTTGCTAATTATCCTTCGAGTCCCTTTTTTGGAATTCAATGTGATTGGGAAGAAAATTTGCTGTTTAGTTCATATCCTTGATAATTTTGGTGTTTAAAAAGATGTTGCAAGGATGCTTAGGAACCACAAGAATTAAATTAAGAAACAAAAACCTAGAGACTGAATTTCGTATTGCCAGGTAATTGTAATTTGGACCCATTAGTCTCTTTTTGTTATAGTCATTTAATGAAGGAAATTGAATGTCAGTAGTGAGCATAGACGAATGCGGACAAGAGTGATAGGGTTCAGTTGATAGCTTATACTTCTTTCCAGATTATACATTTTTTAATGTTAACTTATCAAGATATAAGTTTTTACAATACATGCAATTATTATTTTGAAAATAAATATGCTGGTAGAATATATAAAGATGAGTGATGTAGAGATGAAAGATAGAAAAATCTGAGTGTTCAAATAGAGAAGCATGGGGAAGTATATCATTGGGGTGACATAAATTGGAAGATGGTATGGTGACCACTGAAATGCTGGGTAGGAGGGTATTCTGTGTAGGTTTTATTTTGTCATGTAGGAGCAAACAATCACAATGTTGCAAAGGATTATTTTGGTTTTCAAAAATATTTGGCTTATTTTGAAGAATTGAAACTTACTGGAAAATTTAAATGTTTTGCTTATTTGATCATTTGGATATTGAAAGCTGGTTGCATGGAGCAGAAGTTTTCCAAACCTATGTCCATTCTCATAGTACTTGCGGCAGAAAAAAGAACACAATTGAGACACATTTTCTACCTTTGAATTTGTTGTACTATTAATGTTCTTTTTTAAATCTTTGTGCAACTTCTTGACACTATTATAGGGCTCATGAGGGGGTTGTGGAATACCATGGGAATGATAATATTTGAGGTCGAACACCAACTTTGATGAGCCACGGTTATTGACGACATAAATCACCTATTCTTTGAAATGTGCATATTGCATTAATAAAAAAGAAAAAATGTTACAATTGTACTAAACCGGGCCAGAAAAAAGATGGTCGCGGTCAAAATTGGCAAATGGAAAAAGTAAGTAGGAATTGCCCACCTCGCTAACAAAAAGCCTTTCATGTAAGGCACTGTGCGCACAAGCATGTGCTGCCATATTTTTTGTTCTATCTATATGTTGAAAGAAAACCTGTTTAAATATAGTTGAAAAAGAGAAGTCTTCAGCATGGAGCGGGTTAGCCTTCCATACCTCCTTGGAGTTAGCATGATGGTGAGAGAATAAGGACGCAGTTGTCACTTTCAATGATGATACCTTTCGCTTCATATATACAGGGCTCTATGTAGTTCTTGATGGAGCAGATGGCACAAAGCTCCACAGAAGTGCTGTCCCAATGTTCGATCGGCTCACCAACAGCAAGATAACCATACCAGTTTCATCCTAGAGAGTAACACCATTACCTCCCTCCTTAGAGAGGAGAAGAGCGCCATCCATGTTAAATTTGAACCATATCCCAGGCATTGGAGGTGAGAATGGTTGGGGTCCCGTATGATTGGTCATGCTTTTTAGCGTTCCTAGCCATCAAACATTAATAGGCCAGCTTACAATAGACAAACAGAAGATGGGCTTTGCTGCTGTCTAAAAATTTTCTCCAGAGTTATAAACAGGAATAGGAAATCCCCACTTATGCAATTTTTTTCCCGGCTTCAATAAGAGTTCAGCACCTGCCAATAAAATGATCTGCATCCTCACATTCCCCACACCCTCAAGGGCAGGACGTCTCTTCCTGAAGACCTCTGCGATTGAGCCAGTAGTGGGTTGGAAAGGCATCCAGAACTAATCTCCACCAAAAAAATCTTTCGTGGGGATGAATTTTGAGAACCTTTTCATTTGAAGGTGCTATTTTGTTCTCCAACTAGAGCTTCATAGGCACGGGCAATTACTGTCCTTCCAGTGAGTTTATGCGTGAATTCCACTTGGCCATACTCTAGCTGCGGGTAGAGAAGGATTTCGGAAATCCTTGCACACAAATCCTCACCAAAAAGTTGCCTGATTTGTTGTAGATTCCAGGCCGAATTATCAAGAAGAAAATCCATCTATTTGTCTTCACAATTTGGAACATTATCATAGGAGGGCCAATTAGCAAAAGGGGTGTCCAGCATCCAAGCATGATTCAAAATGCTTATATATCTGCCATTGGAGATCTTCCATCTCACGATAATCCTGCGGGCATCAGCCTAGCTGTTATCACACACCAGGCAATGGAGTCACCTCTTTTGGGTGTGGGGCTCCAAACATCAAGTCCATATTTTGGTTTGAGCAAACCATACAGTAAGGTGTTGCGGTTGGAGATATAGTTCCATGTCAAGCGGGCCTTCAGTGGGCCCATCCACGTGGTGGGGGCTTGAAACCCCAAATTTCTATATCAGTTGGCCTGCAATGCCTCTGCCAGCCAACATAATGCATATTTCTGAGATTGGGTCCTTTTTTCCATAGAAAATCACCGCAGCTATTCTCAATTGCCCGAAGAGTTGAAATTAGAACTTCAGTATGAGTAATAAGGTGGCATGGCATAGAGCAGTGAGGAATTAATCAAGGTGGTTCTTCCTGCCAAAGATAAGTGTTGGAGACCCTAGGAGTTGAGACAGAGTAAGACCTTTTGAAGTATTCCTAGAAAAGCCACATACACTACATGCAAAAGGAAGAAGATGCATGACCTCCTTAGGGTAGAAATGTGAGAATAAAATCTTCAACACACACAAAACTTAGGAAAAGTTTCCTCAACTAATTTACTCCATATATATTTATACTAATACCTAAATTAACCCTAATTAGAAGAGAAAGGAAAGGAAATAAGGGTCCATAGGACCCATGCAGCAAGCTTTGTAGGAAAATCCGATAATTGAAAATTTTCCAGGACAGGATTATATTCTGGTTCTATCCCACAATCACGATCCGATGATTGCAGGATCTGCAATCTTGGCTCCGCATCACTTTTTTGTGCTTTCTTTATTAGAATACTATTGGCTATTTTTTTATCTACATTTATATTTGAAATGTTGGTTGCGATTTTGCTTATTGTACTAATGTATTAGTTCTATGTGTTTCCCTTTACTTCATTGGCAGTCCACTTGTCATTATTTTGCGGGCATTAGTTGATTTGGAAAATTTCAATGACATTCTATCAAATTTGTTTGCAATTCTTCGTGCAATTAAGAAAGCGGAGGATGCCGTTGATGCTCACATTACTGCAGTATGTAACAACATATCTCTCTTGTGACATTGTTTTTTTTTTTTTGCTTGATTATCTGGGAATAGTGTTTTCATGAATTGAAATGTGCAGAAACTACATGCTCTTTCTGATATTGCCATGCTTATTCTGAAATCACTGGGTAAAGGATTAAAGCCTACTTCCAAGTTACATCGTATGATTTTGCTTCCATCATCATTTTACAAAGTTTGTCAAGATTCTAGTAAGGCAAGCTTTGGAATTTATCTTTGAGCTTTTTTATTTATTTTTAATGTCACATTTCATTATCTTCTTTAATATGCTATCAAATGCAGATCTACACACTTAGTGAAAGCTTATTCAATGAAAGCTTTGCCAAAAGAATTCTTGATGTTGTTGATTCTACAATCATTAAGGTGGCCTTTCCTATTACTTAAAATATAAACCTTTTTATATCTTCTTTTTGAAAACACTATTGTACTCTTATAATTTTATCCTTCGAAGGTGAGTTCATGTCTCAATCCATTTTTTTTCTTTTTGTTTAATGCAGCCTTTCAAAGCGAATTGTAATCAGTTTGGTAAACCTCAAGTAGGTGCAAACTATGTCGCTGTCATGATAGACAACTCTGAGAATATGGTCAAGGCTGAAGATGTCAAGCCACTTTCACCCAAATCGAAGTTTTCAAAGGATATTGATCCCAGTCATGGAAATGCACTTCAAAAGGAACTACTACAGAGAACGATTTCCAGCACTAAACCATCCAATATTTGTTCTGTATCATGTGAGTGGCATAACAAGAATTCTGTTGTTAATGATAGAAGAAATTTAATCCCTCAAAATACTGTTGCCAGTTTTGGGGGTGAGCAGCTATCATCCAGTAATTCTGCTAGCACAGAACTCTATTTCCCTGGTTTGCAAACTTTAACTGCAGAACATGAAGTTGAAGCCTTGAACCGTGTGCTTACGAAAAGCATTGCAAAATGTGGTTCTATTAATATCCGTTGTGAACAAAATATTGTTCCTGATTTTTGCTTGACTTCAAAGGTAATGTGGACTTGTATAGAATCTTGGATATATTATTCTTAGGAGGGAACTACACTGATCCGTTTACATACTGAAGGAATCTATTCATAAAGGTGAAGGGATTGCCCAGCACAGGCTGAGTAGGTGTCCTCCAATTGATATGTGGTGAGCTATGGCAATATATAATTGTTGATATGCATGACATTTGAGAATTTATATGAGCCACATTGCTTTTTGATGTACATCGTCTTTTACATAATACAGTTCTTACTCTGGATCTGTTGATTCATGCGACTCCCAGCAAAATAATTCCAAGGTATAATGCCTAATTTGTGTCGGCTGTCAGCTTTTTACAATTTATTAAGCGGCCTATTACTTTACTGAACTTATATTTTGCTCTGCTATGGCTATTGTACTGCTGTTGTGATGCTGCTATGCATTAATAGATTGGTAAATAACAGTTTCGTTGAATTATATTGCATGGCAATACTTGTTGGATCTGGTTTTATCTGTTGAAAGCCTTCCAGATATATGTATCGAGCCTAAAGAACGGAAAAGTAAGGATATATCCTCTCTTGAAGTGGATTGGTCTATAAAGGACAAAATTGAGCCCTTTAGGTAGAGAAGGGCTCCTCTACCTCTCTTGACAGTGCATATACTTCTTTATTCTTCAATTCCTGCGATACTGAATCTTGATATTATATCCCATTAACTTGGATTGCTACCTCTAATGATCCTCAGTCACCTTCCTCTGCTCCAAAAGATAATTTAATCTTCTCTAGTTTGTCCTGACTAGATAGTGTCGCCCCAACAAGTAGGGCTGCCCCTTCTGAATGGCCAAGAAAATGACCATCAACTTCTGTTTGTTCCCTAACTTGAGCCTCGCCCTAGCTATGAGCACCTAATTGAAGTAGGCTATCGGCCGCTGGTCCTATATGAGCACTACTCCCAATCCGTACCCTAATGCATAGTTTTTTTACCACAAATGTTGGTCATGTTTCTCTTCAGAGGTTTGAAAGTGTGTCTTGTTGCTTCCCCCTCTCACTTGAAATTATCTTTCTTCAGCCTTTCCGCCAGTGGTCATGCGATCGTGCCATACCACCTCACAAATATTTGGTAGTGTCCAATAAGACCTAGGAATCCTCTCAACTCCTTCAAATTCATTAGTAAAGGCTAGCTCACTATAGTCGCGATGTTGGACTGCTCCGCTGATACTCTCGCCCTGGTCACCATGTGCCATAGGTACTCCTAGGACTGGGTCATGAGAGGGCGTGAAAACAAAACTATCCCGTAAACCCTGTTGGGCACAAAATTGAGCAACTTTGTTACATGATCTGGGTATGGAAACAAATAAAGCATGTCTAAAATCAAAATGAAAGGCAAGATCCGGACTATGCTGTGTATGTCAGGACCAAGTAATCTTGTTCATTTTGTGATGGAGGAAGTCAACCACATTGTTGCAATCCCCTTCAATGATAATCCCTCAAGCATCCATGGTTCAAGCCATTTTGTGATAAATAAAACCGTTTCAAGTTCTACCTTGGCATGGTCCTAATGTTTCCAATGCTTTCCCATCGCGATCACACAATCACCAACTTTATTCCAAATAATCATCCTGACCCCAACTGCATGAGAGGGGAGAGGAGCCCCAGCAAAATTCTCCTTTAACCAATAGTGATGGTGGGGCATCAAGGGAGATTTCACAGTCCATAAAATGTTCATGGTACTATGTAGGCAGTGTTCTAATTAGGAGCTAAACATACATCATTTTATAACATCTAAAGCACACGAATGACCAAAACATGAAGAACAGTTAACAAAAGAATTTGGCAGATGTATGTACATTCAAACCCAATCATGGAATAAACTATAAAAACCATAGATGATAGCTTGGCTTAGACATGCATGTAAAAATATTCGTGATTTGTAGATTCTTATTAATTGAATTGTATGTATGTATATCTTCGTTTATATTTTTAAACTTTCTTCATGAATGAATTGCAAATACTTTGGAATCGATCAATATGGTAGTAGAAATTTGGTAAATCTACCTTTACCCTGAGATCATGGCTCTCTACTGATAGTTCATGTTGAATTTTCGAGCTAGTGGTTCTTCATCACTGTAAATTGCCTGGTGAATGGGATTCACTATTTTCCTTGATCTGACAAGTTATCGTTGTGGCTATGGTTGATCTCACCTGATTGTCTCCTCTCAAATGAGACAAGACTCGGCTGTAATTGAATGATTTTTCGCTTTAAATTCTCCATAGTATGTTCCAGGACAATTCGTTGAGAATTTTTCTATGGAGGCTTGATGTGTTTAATCTCCAGTTTTCCAATAGATGTGGGATTGTAAATCATGATTGGTCGGGGCTTTAGGTTTTAGGGAAAGGTGTCAGGGTGGTTTTTTTGTGGAGGTGGGAAAGGTCGATTTTGGAAATTTTAGTGTTGGTGTTAGGAAAAAAAAATTGTGGGTGGGGATACTAGATTAAGCTGTTTGTAATTTTGGTTTGGGCCAAGAAAAACAAGGCCTAAAGATTTATGGTTTTAACGGGTTCAAATACCAAATGATACCGTCCTAGGGCTCTAAGAAGGTATTTAAGAAGCAGATTATGCAAGGTGGTGGCTGTGGAATGGTAGTGGGAATAAAATACTAAAGTTTGACGAAGTTTGGACGAGGATAAATATCGCTCAAATATTGTTTCGGCTCAAAGCAACAAAGATAGCGTTGAAATGATGATGTTCAAATGTCGAGGAGGTTTACCATCTGTTTCTGCACAAGCTACAGACACATCACATGCAAAATAAAAATGATATAATACTCCATTAGGGTAGAAATCACAGATAAAATCTTTGTAAACTCAAAGCAAAGCAAAAATTCTCTCAACCAGAAAATAATAACTTATAAATAGTCCCTCAAGTAAAAATACTACCTAGAAATAATAGAAATAAGAAATTATGGAATAGGAAATAGGCTAGAAAAAATAAGAAGTTTTCCCTAAAATTTTGTAATCAACCCGGTTCGGTCTTCTTCCACAATCGTGGGAAAGCCGATTCCACAAGATTGTGTAATCTTGCGATCGCGTGATCCCTAGGTTGTTGATCTCGCGAGAAGCTCCGTGTTACCATATAACATCGTTTAATGGTTTCCTCCATTGTTATCTGCAATGACAGGCGCCGATCGACTCCATTCTTTTTCCATGCCATCAATCACGAATACGGTCATTCCCTCACTATTCCATAATTACCTTCCTGCTAAATTCCTTTCGTAAACACCTTCTCAGAGCCCATTCTCAATTTTTAGAACAATTTCCCTCAATATTGAAGCTGTAATTGGCAATTCCTATTCTCATTATCATGAATACCTGCCTTGTTGGGAGTTGTGATGGCTTTTTTCACCAGTGTTGTAAGCTTCATTGTTTGTCTCATTCACTATCATTATTATCATGGGATACAATTTTTTGAGAATTGCTTATACTATCGTATTTGTTGTTTGATGATCTCAGCAAGGAAGGCGGGTACACATCCTGCTGGTTCTTGCCGTGTAGGTGGTATGCAATGGGTATTACTCATTCCTTATAGGGATTAGATCATTTTCAGACGTTTTTATATCTACGGATTTATGCTATTTTTCCTGCTTTAAACGTTTGAAGTATATTATGTCATTAAGATTTTGTTATTGAAATATGAAATAGTTTTGATATTTGTTGTGATGATAAACACGATATAGATCGCTTGGATATATATGCTGTTAATGTGTAATCAGCCAGCGCTTTTTTTAGGCTACATATGATGACGGGAGCGTGGAGGTCTTCCACTTGGAAGATGAAAGATGGGAGTCTAAAGTTCAAAAATCATCTAGGGATAATGTTAGTATATTTTGCTCAATCCTTGTGGAGTTATCTTACTTCTCAATGATAATTAAAATTTTAATTGATGCAGGATTCATATGGCTTTCAAAGAAGAGCTTGGTGAGCATTTTGAATTTTTAGGTTACTAGTTTGCAATTAATGGAGATAAGATATTTTCTTTTCACAACTTTATTATTATTTTTGTTTTATGGGCTTCGTGATTTAATAAAAATGAATATTAAAAAATTATTCTTTGTGAAGTAAATATATTTGATTTGTCCACATTTACTTCAGATTAAGTCTGTAAAGAAAATTAAATCTGCTGTTAAATAAAATACAAACTTGTGCTAAACACAGCTACTTTACTTGCACGTCTTTTAATTTTGATGAAATTCGTAGTTTACCAATAAGCTCCATAAAATTTTGTGGAGGCTTTCTTATTTTCTTTGTTTTTAAACTATTTTGTAATATTTCAGTAATCATATATCAATGTGACTTGTAGCTGTGTTGAATAGACGTGTAAGGAAGCCAGGAGCCCGTGTTACACTTTTTCTTTCCTTAGCCTATTCAAACAAGCTGCTTTTCTTTTTATTCCTAGGAAGCTCAACAGGGCTGCCCATTTTTGCGCCCAAAAGGCTATTTTACATAGTTTTTCTTTTGATATGGTTCCTAAATCCGTGAAGCTTTTTTCCATTCTCCGTGATGACAGGATCTATTTTGCTCATGCCTGAGGCTATTTTTCTTTTTGTACCTTTTGTATTCCCTCTTTTAGTTTAATGCAAAATTGACACCTTCACGAATACACTCTTGTTTAGCATCTTTTGCATTCTTGTAAAATTTTTAAACAAAACGCCTATGGAAGTACTTTTCCGATTTAGCGCTAGTTCTTTTTCCATTAGCACATACATTGGTAAAATTTGGTTACAAGGTTAAGGATTAATTTTCAAAGCTGGATGATACCGGAACTAGTAAGAGAAATAGTGAACCCACCAAAAAGTATTTTCATTAATATTAAAATAAGGTTACAACACGACTCAAATGAAAATAACAGTGCAAAACAGGAAACGGCACCGACAACACTCATAAATGTATCCTAATGGGTGGTGGAGGATTGAAAGGGCCGACTACAACCACAAGAGGCGAGTGGTAGCGAAGGGAAGGTATGGAACTGAAGGGACAGCAAGTGGGAAGGGTTGTGGGTGGTCGGCAGCGATCTTGTCGTTGTTTAGTGAAGCTTGAAGTGTTCGGTGGCTAGGGGGAGCGAAAGAGATAGGTTAGAGAGGATAAAAGGGGAAGATACCATCACCACCACGGTGGAGATACAGTCGGAGCACCATCACCTTCTCAGATACAGTCCACAACGGGAAAAGAGACTCCAAATAGAAGATCTGAAGCTAAACTCAAACACAACTCTAATGTTACTTGATGCGGGTGGTTTCATATGTTATAAATGTCTTTCAACACTACAATACACAAGGCTGCTAATATAGAAATATTTGTAGTTCAATCACAATAAAAGTCACTTTAGTACAATCAGTTTAATCGTAAAGTTGCTACTCTTAATGAACTAATGAGTTATAACAATTTTTATATAGTCACAAGGATTGCAAACACAAGTATACGTATCACTCAAGTAATACAGAGCTCTAGTGGAGTCCTGGTTATCGATCCCCCATGAAAGGTAATAAATCTTATGATAGTAGCACAAAAATACAATGTTCAAACTATATAAAAATTTAAGTGAAAACGCACAAGTTGAAAATGTTTAATGTTGATAATAGAACTAAATTTATCAAACTACTTTCTAAACTTCAAAGTAAAGTTACAAAGTTTTTGTGATGAAAGGTTTAAATTGGAGAAAGTATACTCCTCCTTACAATGAAGTTATGGTTAGTAAATGATTTAGATTGTTGAAGATTGTATTGTGTCAAATAGGAGCAATCTTATTCTTTACTTTCTTCCAAGCGTAAAAGAACATTGACTAATCCTAGGTTTAGTCCTTAAATTCGTAGTTAGGCTGTGAAGATACTGGCTCTCAGTCCAAAGCTCTCACCTCCCCCTCGCTTGAGGGCTAACTCTTACTTCAGTTTCCAAACACTGTGCTCAAATTGGGGATGTAACATCAATTTATACTCCTAAAGAAAGCTTCTACACAAAGCAAGAGAGTAGGGAAGCTTAGAAAAATACAGAAGACACCCTAAGAGCAGCAGACTCCTGAAACCCTACTCGGGATCGCGTGATGCCTCTAATCTTCGTGCGGGATCTCTCGCGAACGCGTGACATCGTGGTTCTCCCACCCACTTCCACACTCCTTGCGATCTCTTTGCTCCGTGGTTCGAAGCGCCGGTAATCGGGCACTGTTCAGCGCACCGAACCAGGCACTGTTTTAGTGCCCATAATCGGACGCTGTTAGCGTTCGTATTATTTTATTAATTTATGCTTTAAAGTTTTTAAAGTTTAGGCTGTAACAATTAGGTTAACAACGAAAAAATTATCAATATGTTTCAAACTTCATCAAGTTTCATATTGATCATTTTATTTAATTTTTTCATTTTCAATGTCAACATTGTTTTTTATCATCTGGAATTGTCTCATGTGCTACCTCTTTCTATCTATGATGTACAAAAGCCAACATGGAGCATGGATGCCTCACCGGCAAGGTGACATGGAAAATGTTGAAAATTAAGGATATTACATGCTGACCACATTGCTTTCTCACTTAGTTTCACATATAAAGTGGTGCGGGATGTGATTGTGGAATGGAGAATCATGTTTCCACTTTCTCCCACAATCAAACTCATAAAGAAGTGAATCACTGGATCAAGATGAAATTCTCAGTGATGAACCAATACCTCGTCGACTTGACATTAAAGATCAGAGAGATCATAATTTTTGAGTAATGATTGACTTGCCAAATTTTGACAAATGTTTGGATCTAGATAAGTTCGTTGAATAGTTACGAGCTGTGAAATGAATTTTTTAGTGCAATGAAGTTCCTCAAGTAGAAGCGAGCAAAATTGGAAGTCATGAAAGTCATAAAATAATGCACTATTGTAGTAAGAATTGGAAGCATCTTTGATGGTGGGAATGAAGAGCAAGATCACCACATGATTCAAAATGAGTAGTTAAAGAAGTAGATAAGTGACACAAGGCTAAGTATGAATGTAATAGATGAGTATTAGCTTTCAGCCAATGTTTGAGAGTTTCTAGTTATTTAATGGATTGCTCTGAATGAGTCAATGAGAGTGCAATAGTTGCTCTACTACATCTTTCATACCTGTTACACCGTGCAAGGAAATGTATGCAGTGCTATCATATAGATGCAGACATTTGTGGGAATGTGGTGCTTTCCCAAATGGTTGACAAGTTGAGTCTAGCCGCGTTGAAGCGCAATGAAACTTAATACCTATCTTGGTTGAAGGGAGTATGATTATAGTTGACAGGAGATGTTTTGTGGAGTTCTTTATTAGGAATTTTTTCCAAGAGTAGGTATGATATGATGTGGTATTTATGAATGATTGTAACATTCTATTAGGCCATTTTTTTATTGTACGACTCTTGCACATGTCATGATGGCAGAATTAACTACTCTTTACGAAGGATGCGAGTACATCGCACCCTTACTTTGGAAATAATTTGAGATATAGATGTTCATACACAGTCTTAGAATATGGTGCCACAAGCTATCTTTATGCAGGCATTAAGAGAAATATTTGTAGGGCTAGAATTGGTGATCCTAGAAGATGTCAGTCAGAGAAGTCAATATAAATACATGACAACTCTTGCTTAGAGAGTTTTAGAATGTTTTGATCGAGCATAGACACATTTTAAACTTCATTCTTCTAAATTAACCTATTTGATAGATGCAGTCAGCTGAGTATGAGAAGTTGTAGAAGTAGGCTACAATCTTGATGATTAAAGCTTTAGTTTGTGTGAGTACTAGTACTTGTGCAATTTCAGCTCTGATGGCGCCAAAAAGGAATGTTTTTTTATTCTATCACAATGGATTTTCAAACAACATATGTGTTCCAAAGTTGCATTAGGTGGATATGAGCATAGACTTTGTAGTAGGTCTCCCCCAGCCATAACAATGCAATAACTCTGTTATGTTGGTGGTAGATCAATTCTGAAATCTTCTAGTGAATAAGGCAAAACCTTTCCTATCAAGGGATCATGTGTGATCTGATTGCAGAACATGAAATCTCGTTCGTGCACAACACAAAACTGCGCTTAGTCGGAATGCAGAAGCCAGATTCGACAATCTCTTGCAATCGCGCAATTGGACGGGCGAGGATTTTGTCGCGACTGCATTGTATGTGATATTTTTCCTGACTGTTGTTGCTTCCAACACCTTGTTGGACTCTTTGCTAATATTATTATAATTAGAGTTAGGTTTTGGTTTGTGAGTGGGAACTATTTATATCTTATTATCACTTATTCTTTGGTTTTTTTTATTTGGAGATTGTATTCATTGGTTTCTACCTTAAAGAGTGATGTATCCTCTTACTTTCACGAGTAGTTTATATGTAGCTTGTTCAAGACCCAAATATATGCTCTCCCCAATACCCAACCCTTGCATTCTGGATCTCCCTTTTATCGTTCTCCCTTTTCTCCCAACGCTTGCCTCCCTTGGGGTTACTTACTGATTGGAGAAATGAAATATGCTTTTCAAGCTTTATTATTATTATTATTATTATTATTATTATTATTATTATTATAATATATGACCTGCCCTTGCAAATTTTTTTTCCTTGATTTTATTTTTATATCAATAATTTCATTGCCCACACACTAAGAGATGATAGTAACATTTTTATTTTCGAAGAAAATTGTGACAGGTGTTGGAACAGTTGTGCATGTGGTATTGAATAGACTAATCATCCACCGTCTTTGATTTCATAAATGCAGATCTTAACAGGTTTAATTAACCTGAAAATGATTTCGTTTGTGTACTTTATTCTGCAAGAGATTTTATAAAAGCTGTGGTGTGATAATTTTAGTCCTGCAGATAGTAAGCTGACCATAAGTTAACCTTGTGAAGTTTATTTTTGGGTTGCGTTATTTGCTAGCAGTTAGATGCATTATTTTAGCATTATTTTATCTTACAACTATCCTAATTTGTATAATCCGAATTTTCTTGCAGCAATACTTCCAATATGCATTCAACTGTGTTAGGTGAAAGAGCTAGAAACTATGAACACTTAAACAGCTCTTCCATAGTAGGTAATTACTCTTTTATTGGCATTTTATGCTGTCTCTGATCAAATTCTTGCTTCGCTAACTCTGATTATCAAGCAAACTATTGGTTCAATGATTTTTTCTTGTTGACAAAAATATTCTGTGTACTGCATTTAAAGTGGTGATTAGGCGCTTTTGGACACAGATTTCATTCTCAATTTGGTTTTTATTTCTTTCATGAGCTTAAATGTTGTAAGTACATTTTAGTAACATTTTTCGGGGGTGTTTGGCTGCAAGTAGGATTTAGCGTTAGTAGGATTTAATAAATCTGATACTCTTAAATCCGTAAAATCCACCGTGCCCTTGGAATTAGTAAATCCGGATCTAAACTGAATCAAAGCCAAAATTTTTGTCCTTAATTCGACAATTCATAAATCCACATAACTCTTTCATTTTTTGCGTTTGGTTGGATTTCATAAATCCGGTCATAAATCCTATTCAAAGGTGTTACCAAACACCAGCTGAAGGAGAACGTTAAATGATTCATGTAAATGTTGCTCATTCTTTTTGTTTTTTTTAGTATGGGCAGAATTAAATGTTTGCTTAATATTGGTGAGATTCTCCAGAATGCCCAATCAATTGCCTTTCCTATAAATTGGCAGCACTGCTTTCTTTATGACTCGGCTGCTGGAATTCTCATTTGTTTTCTATGGGTCTTGCTTTACCAGCCTAGCAACTTGATGTGGCTAATGATGGTGTTTGTTGAGCCTGTGATAGTTTAAAAATGGAAATTGCCGCAAGTGCTTTCGTTTCAAATTTAGCAAAAAATAGGATTTACTGACAACAACAACAAAGTCTTAATCCCACTATGTGGAGTCGGCTACATGAATCCTTTTTTTCCATTGCGTCCTATTTAGTGTCATATTTTCATTTAATTCTATTTTCATTTAGTTCTAGTATTTTCATTTAATTCTAGTAAACTAAGATCATTTTTTATACAATAAGCCCAAGTCTTTCTAGGTCTGCCTCTGCCTTTTTTAACACACTTCGAATCTAAAACATCTATTGTCCTAATCGGATCATCAGATGGTCGACGTTTAATGTGACCAAACCATTTAAGACGAATTTCTCTAATTTTGTCCGTCACAGGAGCTACACCAACCCTATCACGGATATATTCAGTTCGCATTTTGTCTCTAAGTGTAAAGCCACTCATCCACCTAATCTTTCTCATCTCGGCAACTCTTAACTTATTATTATGCTTCTCTTTTAAAGGCCAACATTCAGCGCCATAGAGCATTGCAGGTCTCACAACCGTCTTATAAAATTTTCCTTCAGTTTAAGCGATACTTTTCTATCACACAAAAGCCCTGAAGTACTCCTCCACTTCAACCAACCAACTTGAACTCTACTATTAACATCCACATCTATATCACCATCGCTTTGAACAACAGACCCAAAATATCTAAATCGTTCACACTTTTTAATAATTTGATCACCCAATGTCACACTTCTGTCATTAGAGCTACTACTACTAAAATTACATTCCATGTATTCAGTTTTAGTTTTACTTAAATGAAGGTCTTTAGACTCCAATGTAGACCTCCATAATTCAAGTTTTTCCTTGGTTTTTTATCTTTTTTTATCCACGAGAAGGATATCATCAGCAAAGAACATACACCAAGGTACATCCTCCTGTAGATGTCCAGTAAGACCATCCATAACTAAAGCAAAAAGATGTGGGCTTAAAGTCGATCCCTGATGTAATCCAACAGAAATAGGAAAATATTTGGTCAATCCTCCTTTAGTTTGAACACAAATTATAGCTCTAGTATAAATATCTTTAATGAATTGAATATAAGTCATATCAACACCTTTCTTCTCAAGAACTCTCCAAAGGATATCTCTTGGAACCTTATCGTAAGCTTTTTCTAAATCAATAAAAATCAAATGTAGATTCTCCTTATTATCTCTGAACTTCTCCATCAAACCTCTCAATAAATGTATAGCTTCCATAGTAGACCTG